TCTACATGGTGGGTCTCTGATGATGATGATGATGATGATGATGATGATGATGATGATGATGATGATGATGATGATGATGATGATGATGATGATGATTTTTTGTATCGTGTTCCTGACGAAGCCCTTTACATGGCTTAATGTTGAACCTGTATTAAATTTGAAAAAATCTACAAAGTCTCAACCCTTTTTTATTCCCACCTACTTACAATGATGATGATGATGATGATGATGATGATGATGATGATGATGATGATGATGATGATGATGATGATGATGATGATGATGACGGCGTTTGTCGTTTCTACAAAAACAGTGTACAAAGCTTTAAAGATGAAAGCTTGTACTTAGCTTTTTTAAGTTGATATAGCAAGATCAGCCTATTATTATTCTGATCAAGACAGAGTATCAAGACAGATGCGCTCCCAAATCCAAGGCGAAGTTGTCATTTACAACTTACAATTAATTTGAACTCCAGTTACCCCCCCCCCCAAAAAAAAAAAAAAAAATTAAATAAATCATCAACAACAACAACAACAACAACAACAACAACAAAATCTAATCAGAAACAAAAACCCACAGAAAAACCCCCACGCACATAGTCCCCCCTCCCTTTTTTTATCCGCTCATAATAAAACAAAAAAACATATATATATTAATAGCCTTCCAATTTAGATCAATTGGGAGGAGGCAGGTTTCCGATCCTGCCTATCACTGTCAGGGCCAAACCGGACTGAGAAAGGTGCAAAATCATCCCAGTAGAAAGACCGAAATACGTACTGGACAAAAAATTATCCCTACTCGAGAATCGAACTCTGGTCTCCTGCGCGCGAGCTAATCTTTATGCCACAGACGCCGGTTTGGTTGTTGGCAGCCGATAAAAAAAAAAATTCCCACTCGGGAATCGAACTCCATCTTCCTGAGCGCGACAGTGGAACGCATAACCGCCACAACACAGACGCCAGTGTCCATACTTACAGAGTAGGTGACTGATTGGTCAACGCATAAACGTTATTGATTTCTCTACAAGAGGAACTTCTTTCACTTTGTCAAGGAAATAGAATCTAATATTTGATCTCTATACAATCTAGTGTCTGCTTATATAATAGTCGACAACATTACGTTTGCTTTATTTTTGTACCCTCGCTTTTTCTTCTCAAAGAAAGCTGCGCGCTGCATAAAAAAAGAACGAAAAGAACCCAACCAAACAAAACAAATAAAATAAAAACAAACTCAGTTCTCCAGAAAAGATCTAGCCGTGCCGTAAGGTAACTTTCTTCTTTGTCGCTCTAATTTATTACTTGTGATCGACTGCGAGCGAGCGTCCATTGTTTTTTTTCTTCTTCTAGCCTACAGCTTCTACTTTTAATTTTAGGCGAGGCGATCCTTTCGCCCCGTCTATCCATGCAGACGACACATCTCTTTTGGAGAAAATCGAAGCCTTGAGCACTGAGCAGACACGCTGTGGCATCTTCTTTTCTTGCGTGAACCACGGCAAGCTTGTGGGCCCCGGAACGAGCATTCATAGCACTGAGTACATTTCTGTGGAAGAAGTGAATGTCGGTAGCCTAGGCTCGGTCGGCTTGTGAGGCCTTCGCTGGATTTGTTTTCATTCGTTGGAGATAATATTGGCCTAGATCTATATTCTTCTCAGGAGTGGACAAATACTGATTTCTGACCAGTTCTGGCCTGTTCAGAGATCTCTGGAGCGTGTCTAACGTGTTTCTGTGAATTACATAACTCGGTTATGCTCGGTGTGTTATGTTTTCAGCAGTCGTCCTTGCTGTAACATGGCGATGAACACTGTTCTCGCCCACAGTTAGCTAACATTACTCAGCATGGTGAGTTCGTCACTGGCTCTATCGTCTTTTCCATATCCCCATCCAGTATGTGGTCGTATCCCTGTTTCATCCCTCATTTCAACCATCGTTAAAAGACTCGATAAATCCTCAGGTTTTGGCGAAACATTTTTTTCACCTCGCGATTTGTCCTGACGAGGACGGATTTTTTATTAGGTCATGGTCGCAGGTCGAAAAAAAGAAACAAAAAAAAGCAGCACCCGAGGTTCACTTTTAACAATACCAGAACATCAAAATGTATGAGTGACAAAAATTTCCTACGAAGTGGCTTTAAAGAAAGGTACTTGTAGGTATAATGGTTTTCGAAATGGACTCCGTCAAGGTTATTTTGGCCGCGAGGGGCTGGCTAAATATGTCACGGCATGAGGCGCATGCCTTCACCGTGTCAGTGTGTCACTGGGTTCGCGCTTCTGTGTAGACCTACTTCACTCTCTCACACTTCACACGGGCTGATCTCGATCTTGATGTAGGCCTAGCAATTGTAGGAGGGCTTTTTTTTTGGGGGGGGGGGTGTTATGTTATGACTGTGTTGTGAAAAACACAGACATAGTATTGATCTAATTTAATATGTAGACTGCAGACGAGTGGGTCTTGATGGAATCTGGTTATAAATGTAATATAGGGGGAAAAGGAGTCATAGCAAGAGACTGACTTAAAACTTATATAGAGGCCTAGGTGTGAGATAATTTCTTCATGCTGAGAATACTTGGGCCTACTTTCCTCTCTGACTCAGTAAATTACATCAGCCTAAATCTAAATGTCTAAATCTCTAAACTGAGAGCACAGCCAGCTTGATTTCAGTGTAGGCTATTCTTAGTTTTAAATGATGTTATTCTAGTGTAAAGTTAGTAAAGTGTTATTTTACATTCACTTCAGATATTTTTTTCAGTTTTCTGGTTCATTTTTTATCCGTTTTCACATAAAATTCGGCTTAATTTCTGTTGCAAATTGTTAGTCGTTGAAATATGTGATGATATTATAGAGAACTATATCAGCCCCCCCCCTTGCCCCTGCTTTTTTGCCATATATATATATAATTGTACAGAGGCTAGATCTATATATTTTGCAATTAGGTTTTAGATTTTCTTGAAAATGTTTTTTTTGCGACATTTTTAGTGGTCGTGTGTTCTGCCGGCAAACATACATGGTGGCTTGACCCTCAGAAACAATGGAAGCAGTCTTCTTCTCCTTTACTTTGTGTGTTGTATGGACACATCATCATGTAGCAGTCTGATTGTGGGTGGTTGGCGGGTGCTCTGGTGTTGTTTGCTCCTTCAAATTCTTTCTTTAGACAAACATCTGTCGTACTATACTTTCCTCCTTTTATACAGTGGTGTCGGTGGCCTAGTGGTTAGGCTACCGGACTTAATCATGAGAATGCGGATTCAGGGTTCGAGCTTCAGCTTGGTCTGATGTTGTTTTTGGGAAAGGCACTTTAAACGAATTTCCCACTTGGCTCGGTCCTTTCAAAGATGGACGTTAAACTTGGAGGTCACACCTCTTAAATAATCTAATACGTGTTGAGAGGGACGTTAAACCGATATAATTTCACCATTTTTCTCCTTTCATAGTAACTTAGTAGTCTTGTAGCATCACCTCTAATCTTGGGCACTATAAATACTTATACCATGACTTAATCGTGTTGCAAGTGCACTATCATTAACATGCTTACTAAAACAAGCAGTCTAATCACATTCAGATCTTGACTTTGTGTTAAAACTACTACGGTTTTGGAGTCTTGGAGTTGATTTCTAATTTCTCAAGCTGTTTAGATTACAATTTCGGCCTCATCTATTTCACTATCTGACCCAGTTGTCACTGCGATGTTGACTTTTTTTTGGAAAAAAATGTATGGTGCTCCCAACTGCTTTTAAGGTCATGAGTGCACAGGTCATAAGTTGGTTGTTTTTACTATTAAATTGAGAAATCAATTTTGAATTTTGCTCAGGTGGCAGCCGAAGCATAAATGGATGTTAGGATCACCAATTGATCTTTAACGTGCGCAACTTGTAACATGGGACCTTCGAGATTTTTTTTCCTCTGCCCGAGACGGCTCAGTGTTCGGTCTTACCTTCCATACGAATATATTGGAGCCAGAAGTAGCAGAAGAAAAAGTCAGGAGCCAAAATCTGGTCTCCCACTTTCAGTGTAGACCTTAAATTTTATAAGGACAGTTGTAAAAAAAAAAAGCTTTTTATCATGAAGCAAATCGAATCTGAGTAATTTTTTGCGCAGGTTGTTGTATGAATGGCAGCTTTCCTTAACGCAAAGTGTGCTTAAAATAAAGAAATACTCTTGGTGGTTGGTGGGTGCTCTGATGTGGCTTGTTCTCAGGCTTCTTTCCTATTGAACATCTATCTATCGTATCGTCCTCTCTCCTCCTTTTTTGTGTTTGTTTTATTCTCTTGTAACACCTCTTAGAAGCTTCAGCACTTAATATGACCTATTTGTTTTGCAAGTGTCGTAAAACGCTTACTACAACAAAGAAGGAATACTCTGGTCCTGTGAAGTATGACGTATGTGTATTATCACCTCTGACTTTTTCCTTCTAAGGCAGACCAGGATTAGTTGGTTCTGTTGTGTCTGCTTTTTTTCCAATCTTTTGCTCCTTTTCTATTGTCCTACTTTTTTTTTCTTTCCCACTCTTTTTTTCTGTCTTTCTGTCCTACTTGTGCCCTACTCTAACCTAAATGTCTCTCAGTCATTGTCTTGACTTGCTTCCTTGCTGTTGTCCTTGGAAATGACACATTGCATGATTTTTCTTCTCCTTACCCTGATGGGAATGACTGTACAAGTGGATGGTTGGCGGGTGCTCTGATGTGGTTTGCTTTTTCTTTCCTATCAAACATCTATCGTCCTTATCTCCCCTTCCTCTTTTATGTTTGTTACTCTCTTGTAACACCTCTAATCTTCGGCACTTATATGACCTTATTATGTTGCAAGTACAGTAAAACACTAAAATTAAAAGACTGTACATCATCTGCTAAAGAGGGAGACAGATCTTGTCAGTTTGTTAGTGTATGAGCACAGGTTTGCTGGGATAATAATAGACTGTAAAATACGTAGAACGCGCTCATATCCTAATGCAGTTGGGAGCGTCGTAAAACTCTTACTAAAACAAAGTGCGTAAAACACACTGAAGAGTGTGGAATACACACTGCAATACAATTATTCATGATCATTATTATTATTATTATTATCGTTATTATTCATTATCATTATTATAATTATTATTATTTATTATCGTTATTATTATTATAATTATTATTGTTGTTGTTATTATTATTGTTATGATTATTATTAAATTATTAAATTAGTATTTTATTATAATATTATTTTAATCATTATTGTTATTATATTATTATACATCTTCTATGTGTTATAAATGCCAAAGAGCCTTCTATTCTGTTACACCACACATGCTGATCACAGGACTGAGGGAGTCTGGTTTTGAGTTTATATGTGATAGAAAATGATAACCGGTGTGCTCAGGTCTGGTTAATCTATTCTACATTTTTGTACATTTAGTATATATTTCTACTGGGATGTATGCATTATAAACCGAAATCTGTGGGACCGCCGGATTTTCTTCGGTTTAGATGAGTTTTCGTTTAAGACAGGTTGCTCAAACAGGGGGGGGGTTTGTTTTCTTTCAATTTACTGCTATTTTCAGATTAACTGTGTTTGGTTTAACGGAGTCCAATGTGTGTAAGTGTAAGCTTAAATGTTCAAATTAATGTAATTTTCAAATTAGGGCTGTTCCATAAAAATTGAAATTGTAATTTTGACAAATATTATATTATACATATATATATAACATAAATGACTTGCTGAAAAATGTTGTAACCACTAACAGAGCTTTTTTTTTTTTCTTTCGTTCTTTCTTTCTTTCTTTCAAATTCTTTCTTCCTTTCTTTTCTTTTTCTTTCTTTTTTTTTTTTTTTGGTTAGATGAAGGTTGCCTCTAACAACAACAAAAGAGTGCTTCTATCACTGGTTAGAATTTATTTTCAGCAAGTCATAATTATGCGCTACGTGTATCATTGCAGTTTCATTTTTCATGGTAGCCTATAGCCGTTAATTATGGGTTAAAGAATATTTTTTGTTTGCATCATGTCTGTTCTTTACTCTTGAGAATAATTATATTGACAGTAGTGTTTAATGAAATATTTTCGGGTGATTGGAGGATGCCTATGGCAGGTCTTTCATATTTCTATAATATAACTCTGCCTTGTTTTTTTTTCTGTCTCGCCTTTTCTTTGCTCAGAGACAGGACAGGACTGTAATCCTGCAGATGTGTGTCACCAAGGTTTTAGAAAAAAAACACCCAACAAAACTCACTCCCTCTTTTTAGAGTTAAGCTTTCTTTCAGCCAGGGAATTGGGTGGTTGGCTGGTGCTCTGGTGTGGTTTGCTTCTTCTTTCCTATCAAACATCTATCATCTTTATGATTATAAAAATCTCCCCTCTTTTTTTTTGGTTTATTACTCTCTTGTAACACCTCTAATCTTCGGCACTTATATGATCTTATTGTGTTGCAAGTGCCGTAAAACACTACTTTAAAAACATTCAGTCAGGGATGCTGTGATGTACGTATGTAGTAGTTCGCTGCTTCGCCATCGCAGGCAGAAGTCATGAGTTTGATTCCCATTTTTAAGATCCTTTTTTCGCCTGTTCCTTCAAATTCAAATACAATCCAATCCAAAGTAACTCATTCAGATTCACACTCTGTCTGTCTGTCTGTCTGTCTGTCTGTCTGTCTGTCTGTCTGTCTGTCTGTCTGATTATTCATCCGTCCGTCCGTCTCTTTGTCTGACTATCTTGTCCCCCCCCACCCCTCTTTCCGCTTTCACTAAATAGCCCAACACTAACTACCGGGTTGGTAATCTGGTGTGGTTTGGTTTGCTCCTTCTTCCAATAAAAAACCCCCTGTCATCTCTATCTATCCTCCTTTTTTTTGTTTGATACTCTCTTGTAACACCTC